TGGCCATCTGATCTTCAGCAGCGAGCGTAAGCAGTTGTCGATGAATGTCTGTAGTTTATTGGAAATGCCTTTCGTAACGCGCCAAGTCTCTGAACCATACAGGAGCACTGACTTGACGTTGGTGTTGAAAATCCGTATCTTGTTCCGCATGCTGAGTGCAGAAGATCTCCACACTGGTTTCAGGCTAATGAACGCCTGTCTTGCTTTTCCGATTCTGACTTTGACGTCCTCGTCCGTCCCGCCTGTAGTTGAAACAGTGCTTCCTAGATAGGTGAAGGAGGTTACTTCCTTTAAGTTTCTCCCGTTGACGGTGATTGGAGTTTCTTGTTGTTGTTGGAGTTGTTGGTTAGGTATCTTCATCACCTCTGTCTTCTCTATATTCACTTGAATTCCCATCTTCGCTGCCTCTTCTATCAACTTGTCAGTTTTCACCTGTAGATCTTCAAGTTTGTGTGACATCAGGCACAAGTCATCGGCGAAATCCAAGTCTTCTAGGTTGTTTTCGCAGTCCAGCCAGCGTATCCCCCTCCTCTCGCTCCCCACTGTTTGCTGCATGATCCAGTCCACTAGACCACGGGGGGGGGGATAGTAGGCAACCTTGTTTCACTCCTGTCTTCACTTCAAAAGCATCACTGAGCTTCCCATTGTGAATTACTTGGCCGGCATGTGGAGTCTTCATATAGTTGTTGAATGAGGCGGATAAAGGTTTGCGGTACTCCGTAGTATTGAAGCAGTTTCCAAATTACTTCTCGGTCGACGCTGTCAAAGGCCTTCTCAGAGTCGATGAAGTTGAGGTAGAGAGCTGATTGCCATTCTACGCTCTGTTCTATGATGATACGAAGCGTTGCAATTTGGTCTGCACATGATTTGTACTTCCTGAAGCCGGCCTGCCTGTTCCGGTCGCAGTTTTGAATCCAGTGCGTCTTTAAGCCTCTCTAGGATGATGCGGCTTAATATTTTACTTGCTTTGGGTGGACAGGAGAGTGATTCCGCGCCAGTTCTTGCAAGCACTGAGGTCTCCTTTCTTCGGCAGTTTGACAAGGTAACCCTTCTTCCAATCACTAGACAGGTACCTTCTCTTCCTTCCACACCTTTTGCAATAGTGGTGTGAGCATGTACGCTGTTGTCTCTGCGTCTGTTCTCAGTGCTTCTGGCGGTATCCCATCTGGTCCTGCTGCTTTCCCGCATTTCAGTAGCTTTATGGCGTTCAGGACTTCCATTTTCGTTGGGGGATTAATGTTCACTTGTAATTCAGCGGCTGCAGGTGGTATTTCTGGACGAAGTGTAGGTGGTGGTCGATTCAAGAGCTTCTTGAAGTGGTCGGCCCATTGTTTCCTCTGTTTCTCTTCTTTCGTAATTAAATTTCCTTCTTCATCTTTTATTGGTTTCATCTGTGTTGGTCTCTTCCCTGATAGCAACCTGGTTATTTGATACAATGTCATCAGGTCTCTCTTACCTGCAGCCTGTTCTGCTTCACTTGCCAGTGTTTCGTAGAAGTGTCTTTTGTCTTTGCGTGCACTCTTCTTCACTTCTTTGTCCAGCGCAGTGTTTTATACATTGTGCTCAGTTCCTCTTGTCGTTGAGCATCCTTGCACTGGTTTATCTTCTGCTTCACCATCCTCCTCTCCCTGCTCTACCAGCTTCCAGGTATCCGTCGAGATCCATTCCTTATCTTCTTTCTTCTTCCTTCCTAATACTGTTGTGCAGGTTTCTTTCCACATAGCTTTCAAAGACTTCCAGTGTTCTTCCACACAGGTTTCTTCAGGGATGTTGCTCGATGTCTCCCATTTTGTCTTGATGGCTGCCTTGAAGATCTCCTTTGTAGTTTCATCCTTCAGTTTCCGAGTGTTGTACTTGAATTGAGGTCTATCACCAGCTTCCTTGAAGGCTTTTAACTTGATTTGGAAAATAGGTTGCTTGCACTAGATAGTGGTGTGAACCTACATCTGCTCCTCTTCTTCACCTTGTGTTAAGTAGACTGCGTCTCCATTTTCTTGAGATTGAGATAAAGTCGATTTGATTTCTAGTGTGTCCATCTGGTGAAGTCCATGTCGCTTTGTGGATATCCTTGTGCCTGAACACACTGCCTCCAATCACCAAATCGTTGAATGCACAGAATTCTGCAAACAATTCTCCATTCTCATTCATTTCACCGAGCGCCTCTCGACCCATGGTTAGTTCTCTTCCCGTGTTGTCCCCTCCCAGTTTGGCATTCATGTCACCCCACCCATTAGAATTTTGATATCGCCAACTGGCGTCTTGTCCAGTGTTGATTGAAGTTGTCTGTAGAATTCCTCCTTTTTCTCTTGCTCTGCATTATTTGTAGATGCATAACATTGTATGATTGTGACCTTTCTTCCTTTCGAGTTGAATCTTGCTGTCATGATCCTGGAGGAGATTGGTTCCCACTGCATGAGAGCCTTCGATGCTCTTGAGGACATCATGATAGCCACTCCATAACTCAGTGTGCTCGTGGTTGTCGTCTGGGTGACAATATCGGAGTAGATTATTGACTCTCCTTTCCAGTTGACAGTTTGGAGAGTCCACTCCCATTCCATCTGCTTTCGCAAATCCCAAGCACTTCGATGTTATACCTTCTCATCTCCTTTGCAATCTGGGCTGCCTTACTGGGTTCAAACATGGTGCGGACATTCCATGTCCCCACGTTTACTTTCGCTTTCATCGAGAGAAGACACATCGGCCAATTGGCTTCCCGAAGGCTTTCACCAACTGGCGTCATTTCACCTCTCCGATTCCAGCGGGGAATAAGTTTGTTTTCATTTTTTATATTTTGTTTGTGCTTTGAAGTTTCTTTAGCGGTTAGATTTGTTTTACGGGGTAGGGTTGCTAGCCCTATGCCCAACCTTCCCTCTTTACCCGGGCTTAGGACCGGCTAGTAACTAGTAAACTAGTTAACCAGGCGAGGTTAAAATGAATCTTATCAGTACATAATAAATGTAGCTGTTTTAAATGCCTTGGAGAAATAGGGAAGAAAGAATAATTCGAAGAAACATGATCGCAAAGAATATTCACTGTCTTCATTAGGGGTACACTCGTAAATAAAGAGTTGACATCGACAGAGTATATTTTCTTGTCTCTGATATTCATGTCAGTTAGACAATCAACAAATTGAAAAGTATATTTCAATGAACACTTACATAAAACATTAGGAATCACGTTCAGTATTCCGACTAACCATTTCGCTAATTTGTGTGTGGGAGGCTAGTAACACTAGATTATGGAAAGATCACAAACAAGTATAAAAATCCCATTTATCCTGGTGACCGCGAAATGAATTATTTTCATTGTATCTGGGTTAAAGCTGAAGGCAATGGGAGGGAAATGGAAAAAACAAACACCTATATGCATAAATTAAGTTTGGAAATCTTAGCTGGTATATCTTCTGCCGTCACTTCCTTACCTCGACTTCGTCGACTTTAGAAAGACCAGAGTTTGACAGCGTCGACCGACAAATAATTTGATACGCAGCTCCTTCAACACTACCGTTTCAACAACACAAATCTCATTCAACAGCTAGATGCTATCCTATATGAGGATGCTACATGACAAGTGATTCACAACACAGTGGAAAGCTCAGTGATGATGTCTTTGAAGTGAATTGATGACAGGAAGGAGTAAGACAAGGATGCCGCCTACTATCATCACCGATGATCTTCCCAACTGTGGTCGACTTGACTGGACTAGATCATACAACAGACAACTGTGAGGAACTATGAGAAGATGGGCATACGCTTTTCGATCCTAGGAGATTTGGATTTCGCCAGAGATGATGATTTCTGTCCTATGTCTTGTCACATAAACTCGAAGATCTATAAACGAAAACTAACAAGTTGTCTGGCAGAAGAGGCGAGGTGAGGTAGTGAAGGAGGACGGGACTTTCTTCAGGTGGACGTGCAGAAGACAGAGGTGATGAAGATACTCAACCAACAATAACAACAACAACGACAACCATCATTAACGGGAGAAATCTGAAGGAAGTTGTCTCTTTCACCTACCTCTTTACCTAGACAAGGCAGCATCGTTTCAACTACAGGTGACGGCAGCACACATAAGGATGTGAAAGCCAGAATTCGAAAGACAGCAAGACAGACCCTCCTTCATTAACCTGAAATAGTCAGTGTGTAGATCTACTCCACTCCACTGTAATCAATCAGTATAAGACATGAACAAGATCCACATTTTCTACACTAATGTCAGTCAAGTAAGTCAGTGCTTCTATGTGATGGTTGAGAGACTTGGCAAGTTACGCAAAGCATTTCCAACAAACTATAGACATACATCACATCAACAGCTGCCACCTACGCTCACTCGTTACTGACACACTGAAGATCAGATGGCCAGAATAATGCGAATGAGCAACAAGGAACTCACTGTGGCTGGCAACGAACCAACCAACAACCTATCACCCAACAAATATGTAGAAGGAGAAAGTGGTGATGGATTGGGCATACACTGAGGAAACCATTCAAATATTTCACACGCCAGACCATGCTCTCGAGTGGAACTCAAAGGGGGAACGACGAGTTGGGAGTCGAGGGTGATATGTAGACCATGTGAAGAGGAAATGAAAGCTTGTGGGCTGTCGTGTAGCCAGGTTCAAAAGACTGAAGAGAAGAGAGTGCAATGGAGATGTGCTACTGAAGCCCTGTGTTCCACTAGGAACCCAAAGGACAAGCATTGTAATGATAATGAATACCTCCTATCAGTTTTTCAAAAAATAATCTTATTTGTATGTTACTATTTGAAAGTATTTTTCATCATCACTTTTTAAGCGTTTAGATTGAATTTTATGTGAAACATTTAGTGTACAGCCAATATACTTTACTTCACAGGAGCAAGTGAGTTGATAAGAAATACACCTACCCCTGATATCGTAATATTTACCTGATTTTGAATGCCTCCTTTGGATTTATCAAAGGGATAAATTGTTTCCAATTGTTCCTTCATTATTGTCATTCTTTTGTTGTATACATACACAGTCTTGGAGTGATGAATTATCCAGTGAAACTTAGTAAACGGGAACCACGCAAGCAGAATACAATAGTTATCGTTACACATACATCAAGGTTAAAGAATGGCGTACTGGAAGATGTCTACTTACTTCTTCAACGACCTAAAACAGGTGAGTAAGAGAATGTCTTTTTAAAGCAACGGAATACTTGCTTATATAACTTTTCGTGGTTGACTATATTACTTTTATTGATTCGCTGAAATAAAATATAAACGTTGATAGGTTTATAACGCCGATATGCATTGCTAAGGGAAGCTGGATTAGGTTGGAGAAGGATGACCAAGCCCAGACATGGGACGAGGTCATGAAGTCTCTGAGTTGTGTATAGAGGTGTAGGCTGCCTGGTTGGAGTCACTGGAGGCCATAGGAATCAGTGATTGACGACTTTTGGCTGCATGGCTGAAAATCGGTCACAATGACGCCAATGTATTCACTCCTTAACATCTTCTAAGGCTTCAATATTCGTACTGACCTTCATCGCCAGATTATTTATTCTCTCACACAACTCTGTTTACTTTGATATTAGTCTAATCCTATCCACCTGCTCTTTGTTTACCACTGCCAAGTGTGGCAACTTGAGTTGAGGCAATTGTGTACCACGTTCTACCTTGAGTTGATCTGTCTGTCTGTAGAGTTTATGCCCCATGAACTCGTCAGGTTCATCAACACATATTAGTAGAACTACAACTTCTATTGAAATAATTAGATGACATCATTAATATAGAATTAAAACTTGTGCACTATGGTCGATTGTGATTCCATTTTGGTTTGTTTATTAGATATTTCACACACACAGTCAACGGACAGTATCATTGGTTGGATAACATTTCGAACACAATTTATTGTCCATATTCATATCAGGTAACTAACCACACAACTTTGAGACAGAGTTTATGTAGTCCTCATTTCTCCCTCCCTCTTTGTGATGACAAGGGTAGTAGGACTTTCTATGTATCTGGGACAGGTGCAGAATCATTTCTATTACTGCATGTATTGAGTGTTGATTCGATAAGCAAGGATTCAGTTATCAATCTCTCCCTCCATCCACCCAACTGAGTTAGTTTTTAACGCTGCCGCTCTGTTGTTCTATCGTATTATATGATTGTGTGTAATTGCGTGCATAGTTATAGGCGAGTAGTCAACTAAATTGGAAGGCCTCCTATGGACACTAGTCTCTAAATTTCAACCTTCATTCCGTTTAATCTTGTAATTCAATATTGCTAGTTCGCCTTCATCACTTTTTAATTCACAGGTAAATTGGATTTATATGTGTCAAGAACCCATTGATGTGTTCTGATTCTAGTACTGTAAACCTATCATCTACATATCGGAACCATAAATTTGGAGTAGGATTTAATGTTTGAAAGTTCATCTGTTCCCAACTATCCACAAATATGTCTGCGATAATGAAGGATATTGGTGATCCTATGGCAACACCTTCACTTTGATTATGTATTTAGGCACAATCGTACTCTTAGTATGATTTCCCCAATCAACACCTTACTTCGATGCGTAAGCTGTTTGTCATCCTTAGGCCCATTTCCAACTACCTCTAGAGCCATGTCAATCGGTATATTTGTGTAAAGGCTAGTTATGTCAAAACTAACCATTTTTCACTGTCGTCTAATTTGTGCTTTAAGTCATAAGAGTTGGTAAGTTGAGACTTAGTGATTTCTTATTGGGTCTAGCACCATTGGTAAATATTTAAACAACTCGTAAGTCGAAGTGTTTCTAAAATCTGTTATAAGCCTGATGGGATAACCTGGCTTATGAATCTTAATAGTACCATACATTCTACTGGGATTATTAGTTTTTGCGATTAAATTAAACCATTTTGACTCATCTAGAAACAGATTTATTCGGTGTATCAGATTCCCTGTTGATTTCTTAACCTTATGCATAATAGTATCCACTGATTTCTTAATCTCTTCATATGATCCTGTTTCTATATGCTCGTTCACTTTGTAGATGTAGTCAGATTTGTTGATTACAACTGTTGAGTTGCCTTTATCGGATTTGGCAATTACAATCTTGTTACCACTTTGAAAGTTCCTGAGAGCTTGGGCAAATTAGATTTCATTTTCCCCTATCGTTTTAGTGTCAAAGCACACTATGCAATTATGCCTAATATATACAGCTTTTAAATTCCAAAATTAAGTATATAAACAAACTGGTGTTGCTATGGGATCGCCAATATCCCCTATCGTCGCAGATATATTGATGGATTGTTGAGAACGGATGGCCCTTCAAACATTTAGTCCTACTTCAAAGATATGGTTTCTATATGTAGATGATACATATACAATACTGAAATCGGAACACATTAATAGGTTCTTGGCACATATAAATTCAGTAGTCAACCCAATTCAATTTACTTATAACTTAAAAAGTGCTGAAGGTTAGCTGGCTATGTTGGAATATTTGATTAAACGAAGACAAGATAGAAGTTTCAAGACTAATGTCAATAGGAAACCTCTCCATTCAAACTGCTACTCACACTTTAAATCAACTCACTCCATCTGAGTTAAAATAGACCTTGTTAAATGCCTAAGTGATATTGCGAAAAAGCTTACTAGTAGGCCAGAAAATCTATGACCAGAAATTAGACATATCAAGAATACCTTGTATCTCAATAATCATCCACCTAGATTGGTAAATAAATTCATTAGGAATCGAACGGAAATATAAGTAGCAGTAGAAGTAACACATGTATTATTCGTAATAGTTCTGCTCTTAATAGTAATAATGGTAAAAGGGTTGAGAGAGAATTCAAAGCCTCTGTTGTGTTACCATACATGGAAGGCACCTGAAAAGCATAATGAAGATTTCTCAATGAGGCTGGTTGGGATTAGAGTGGCACTTAAACCAACAAACTTGCTTAGAAACAAGCTTTGTAGGTTAGAAGATCCTGTCGATGCATTTAGGCAAAATAATCTGGTTTATCAAATCCCTTGCAATGATTGCGAAATAAAATACATCGGTCAGAGTAGTCGACCAGGGTGGATTAGAATGACAGCACAAAAGCTTAGCTAAATCAACATAAATAGAGCCGAATTAGATAAGGAATTTTGAAAAAAAGCTGGACTATAGCTCTGCTCGCAATCCCATACATTCACACAGTAGGTTAGGATGGAGTGACGGCGTTAAAAACTAAATTGTGTGGGTGGGTGGAGGGAGGGAGGGAGAGATTGATAACCGATTGTTTGTTTGTCGTGCAATGGAAATGATTCTACACCTGTCCCAGATTTATAGAGGATTCTACTATCCTTGTGATCAGAAAGAAGGAGGGAGGGGGGGGGGACTGAGGACTGTGAGGTTGTGAGGTTAGTTACATGATATGAATATGGACAATAAATTGTGTCCGAAACGTTATCCAGTTAGCGGTACCGTTTCACGTAAATGATATTATATTGAATAGAGAATAGCTTGTTGAAAGCAATCGACAAACAACTCTACACATCTCAATTTCATGTTTGTTGACACTGGTCTACAAGGCATATCTACAAATATATATCATAAATTGACCGATGTAAGGTACAGTGAACTATTGGTCTCTGATTTAGTTGCAGAATAGTTGACGCATTCACTGCGAAATCTGAAGGACTTGAGTTTGCCCTATGGAGGGATCATGAGTGCATACGATTGAGAACTCCATTACCAGGTAGAAACAGCTATCCTATGCTCCTAGGTTTTCAATGAACCTCTGAACTATGTCATTCCATGATGAGCACTGCTTTAAAAATGAAATCCCTATCAAATTCGAAGTGCATTGAATTTATTGTCTACCTGTAGCTTACAGTTGGTGCATCACGAGTTTGAGTTTGTCCTATTTCGTTGTGATTGACGAATTATTATCGTTAGGAAACATATCCACTCTTTACGTAATGGTTATAGTTCCCAACTGAGTGTACATGGTTCTACATTCTTGCTGGACTGCGTTATTATTACTATTATTTGTCTCTTAGGTTCACTACTGGAACATAGGGCTTCAGTAGCACATCTCCATTGCACTCTCTTCTCTTCAGTCTTTTGAACCTGGCTACACGACAGCCCACAAGCTTTCATTTCCTCTTCACATGGTCTACATATCACCCTCGACTCCCAACTCGTCGTTCCCCCTCTCGTTCCCCTCTCAACCATCACATAGAAGCACTGACTTACTTGACTGACATTAGTGTAGAAAATGTGGATCTTGTTCATGTCTTATACTGATTGATTACAGTGGAGTGGAGTAGATCTACACACTGACTATTTCAGGTTAATGAAGGAGGGTCTGTCTTGCTGTCTTTCGAATTCTGGTTTTCACATCCTTATGTGTGCTGCCGTCACCTGTAGTTGAAACGATGCTGCCTTGTCTAGGTAAAGAGGTAGGTGAAAGAGACAACTTCCTTCAGATTTCTCCCGTTAATGATGGTTGTCGTTGTTGTTGTTATTGTTGGTTGAGTATCTTCATCACCTCTGTCTTCTGCACGTCCACCTGAAGAAAGTCCCGTCCTCCTTCACTACCTCACCTCGCCTCTTCTGCCAGACAACTTGTTAGTTTTCGTTTATAGATCTTCGAGTTTATGTGACAAGACATAGGACAGAAATCATCATCTCTGGCGAAATCCAAATCTCCTAGGATCGAAAAGCGTATGCCCATCTTCTCATAGTTCCTCACAGTTGTCTGTTGTATGATCTAGTCCAGTCAAGTCGACCACAGTTGGGAAGATCATCGGTGATGATAGTAGGCGGCATCCTTGTCTTACTCCTTCCTGTCATCAATTCACTTCAAAGACATCATCACTGAGCTTTCCACTGTGTTGTGAATCACTTGTCATGTAGCATCCTCATATAGGATAGCATCTAGCTGTTGAATGAGATTTGTGTTGTTGAAACGGTAGTGTTGAAGGAGCTGCGTATCAAATTATTTGTCGGTCGACGCTGTCAAACTCTGGTCTTTCTAAAGTCGACGAAGTCGAGGTAAGGAAGTGACGGCAGAAGATATACCAGCTAAGATTTCCAAACTTAATTTATGCATATAGGTGTTTGTTCTTTCCATTTCCCTCCCATTGCCTTCAGCTTTAACCCAGATACAATGAAAATAATTCATTTCGCGGTCACCAGGATAAATGGGATTTTTATACTTGTTTGTGATCTTTCCATAATCTAGTGTTACTAGCCTCCCACACACAAATTAGCGAAATGGTTAGTCGGAATACTGAACGTGATTCCTAATGTTTTATGTAAGTGTTCATTGAAATATACTTTTCAATTTGTTGATTGTCTAACTGACATGAATATCAGAGACAAGAAAATATACTCTGTCGATGTCAACTCTTTATTTACGAGTGTACCCCTAATGAAGACAGTGAATATTCTTTGCGATCATGTTTCTTCGAATTATTCTTCCTTCCCTATTTCTCCAAGGCATTTAAAACAGCTACATTTATTATGTACTGATAAGATTCATTTTAACCTCGCCTGGTTAACTAGTTTACTAGTTACTAGCCGGTCCTAAGCCCGGGTAAAGAGGGAAGGTTGGGCATAGGGCTAGCAACCCTACCCCGTAAAACAAATCTAACCGCTAAAGAAACTTCAAAGCACAAACAAAATATAAAAAATAATAACAAACTTATTCCCCGTTGGAATCGGAGAGGCGAAATGACACCAGTTGGTGAAAGCCTTCGGGAAGCCAATTGGCCGATGTGTCTTCTCTCGATGAAAGCGAAAGTAAACGTGGGGACATGGAATGTCCGCACCATGTTTGAACCCAGTAAGGCAGCCCAGATTGCAAAGGAGATGAGAAGGTATAACATCGAAGTGCTTGGGATTTGCGAAAGCAGATGGAATGGGAGTGGACTCTCCAAACTGTCAACTGGAAAGGAGAGTCAATAATCTACTCCGATATTGTCACCCAGACGACAACCACGAGCACACTGAGTTATGGAGTGGCTATCATGATGTCCTCAAGAGCATCGAAGGCTCTCATGCAGTGGGAACCAATCTCCTCCAGGATCATGACAGCAAGATTCAACTCAAAAGGAAGAAAGGTCACAATCATACAATGTTATGCACCTACAAATAATGCAGAGCAAGAGAAAAAGGAGGAATTCTACAGACAACTGCAATCAACACTGGACAAGACGCCAGTTGGCGATATCAAAATTCTAATGGGTGGGGTGACATGAATGCCAAACTGGGAGGGGACAACACGGGAAGAGAACTAACCATGGGTCGAGAGGCGCTCGGTGAAATGAATGAGAATGGAGAATTGTTTGCAGAATTCTGTGCATTCAACGATTTGGTGATTGGAGGCAGTGTGTTCAGGCACAAGGATATCCACAAAGCGACATGGACTTCACCAGATGGACACACTAAAAATCAAATCGACTTTATCTCAATCTCAAGAAAATGGAGACGCAGTCTACTTAACACAAGGTGAAGAAGAGGAGCAGATGTAGGTTCAGACCACTCACCATCTAGTGCAAGGAACCTTCCAAATCAAGTTAAAAGCCTTCAAGGAAGCTGGTGATAGACCTCAATTCAAGTACAACACTCGGAAACTGAAGGATGAAACTACAAAGGAGATCTTCAAGGCAGCCATCAAGACAAAATGGGAGACATCGAGCAACATCCCTGAAGAAACCTGTGTGGAAGAACACTGGAAGTCTTTGAAAGCTATGTGGAAAGAAACCTGCACAACAGTATTAGGAAGGAAGAAGAAAGAAGATAAGGAATGGATCTCGACGGATACCTGGAAGCTGGTAGAGCAGGGAGAGGAGGATGGTGAAGCAGAAGATAAACCAGTGCAGTGCAAGGATGCTCAACGACAAGAGGAACTGAGCACAATGTATATAAAACTGCGCTGGACAAAGAAGTGAAGAAGAGTGCACGCAAAGACAAAAGACACTTCTACGAAACACTGGCAAGTGAAGCAGAACAGGCTGCAGGTAAGAGAGACCTGATGACATTGTATCAAATAACCAGGTTGCTATCAGGGAAGAGACCAACACAGATGAAACCAATAAAAGATGAAGAAGGAAATTTAATTACGAAAGAAGAGAAACAGAGGAAACAATGGGCCGACCACTTCAAGAAGCTCTTGAATCGACCACCACCTACACTTCGTCCAGAAATACCACCTGCAGCCGCTGAATTACAAGTGAACATTAATCCCCCAACGAAAATGGAAGTCCTGAACGCCATAAAGCTACTGAAATGCGGGAAAGCAGCAGGACCAGACGGGATCCCCCCAGAAGCACTGAGAACAGACGCAGAGACAACAGCGTACATGCTCACACCACTATTGCAGAAGGTGTGGAAGGAAGAGAAGGTACCTGTCTAGTGATTGGAAGAAGGGTTACCTTGTCAAACTGCCGAAGAAAGGAGACCTCAGTGCTTGCAAGAACTGGCGCGGAATCACTCTCCTGTCCACCCAAAGCAAGTAAAATATTAAGCCGCATCATCCTAGAGAGGCTTAAAGACGCACTGGATTCAAAACTGCGACCGGAACAGGCAGGCCGGCTTCAGGAAGTACAAATCATGTGCAGACCAAATTGCAACGCTTCGTATCATCATAGAACAGAGCGTAGAATGGCAATCAGCTCTCTACCTCAACTTCATCGACTTTGAGAAGGCCTTTGACAGCGTCGACCGAGAAGTAATTTGGAAACTGCTTCAATACTACGGAGTACCGCAAACCTTTATCCGCCTCATTCAACAACTATATGAAGACTCCACATGCCGGCCAAGTAATTCACAATGGGAAGCTCAGTGATGCTTTTGAAGTGAAGACAGGAGTGAAACAAGGTTGCCTACTATCCCCCCCCCCGTGGTCTAGTGGACTGGATCATGCAGCAAACAGTGGGGAGCGAGAGGAGGGGGATACGCTGGCTGGACTGCGGAAAACAACCTAGAAGACTTGGATTTCGCCGATTACTTGTGCCTGATGTCACACAAACTTGAAGATCTACAGGTGAAAACTGACAAGTTGATAGAAGAGGCAGCGAAGATGGGAATTCAAGTGAATATAGAGAAGACAGAAGTGATGAAGATACCGCACCACCACCATCAACAACAACAACAAACTCCAATCACCGTCAACGGGAGAAACTTGAAGGAAGTAACCTCCTTCACTTATCTAGGAAGCACTGTTTCAACTACAGGCGGGACGGACGAGGACGTCAAAGTCAGAATCGGAAAAGCAAGACAGGCGTTCATTAGCCTGAAACCAGTGTGGAGATCTTCTGCACTCAGCATGTGGAACAAGATACGGATTTTCAACACCAACGTCAAGTCAGTGCTCTTGTATGGCTCAGAGACTTGGCGCGTTACGAAAGGCATTTCCAATAAACTACAGACATTCATCGACAACTGCTTACGCTCGCTGCTGAAGATCAGATGGCCAGAAAAATAAGCAACAAGGAACTCTGGGAACGAACCAACCAAGAACCTATCACGCAACAAATATGCAGGAAGAAGTGGAGATGGATTGGCCATGCACTGAGAAGGCCGACTGAGGACATCACGCGTCAGGCCAGGTCCTCGAGTGGAATCCCCATGGGAAGCGACGAGTTGGACGTCCGAGGGTGACATGGAGGAGGTCGTGCGAGGAGGAAATGAGAGGTTGTGGGCTGTCGTGGGACCAGGTTCAAAAGATTTCGGAGAACAGAGGTCACTGGAGGCGTGCTACTGAAGCCCTATGTTCCACTAGGAACCCAAGGGACTAATAAAATAATATGTAAAAAGATTCATTTCACTTTCGAAGGCAAACACTTTTGGTAAATTGGTGATGTAGCTATGGCGAGTCTATTAGGACCGTTATTAGCTGATGTATATGTCACATATTGAGCTACTAACGGCTTAGGATCTAATCAGTAATATCACATTCTATAGAAAGTACGTTGATGACATCATTGTAATATCTTACACAGATGAGGATGCCAGGGGTTTGTTAAAAAGGCTTAATACCGTACACGATCATATCAGCCTGATATGTGAGGAAGAGAATGACAACCAACTTGCACTTCATGATATACTGTTGTACCGGAGGGAAGATAGATCTAGCAGACGATCAATCTATAGAAACTCTACTTGAACGGGACAGTACGTGAGTTTCTACAGCTTTTGTCCAATGAAATATAAGAGAGGCTTAGTAAGTTGCTTATTCAATAGGACCCAACGTATATGTACATCCGATACAATGGATAATGACAGTGAATTTCTGACGGATACACTCATGGAAAACGGATATCCATTACAGCTGACCCAAGAGCCTATAAATGCCTCGGTCACGAAGAAGGATATATTGCTTAAAATAACGCACAAAGGGGAAATGAGTACTATGATATTGAAACAGAGATTAAACATACTATGCAGCTCAGTTCATCATTGTTGAGACAACAAACCACCCGCTTCGCCACAAACCTAAACCTTACATAAATGATTATGTTACATCCCACTGTGTTTACCAATTCACATGTATGTGAGTAGATACACATTTATAGGGAGAAGTAATCGTGCTGTGTAGACTAGGGTGGGTGAACAGTTTAACACACAAACCTGATGATAGACATCCATCTTCATCTATAGCAAAATATATCATCAAAGTGAACCATAAGGTTAATATCGGAAAACAGCATTCGAGATATTATATGGGAAGAGTCAGGGGCACATAATGAAATCTGCCGAAGCATTAGCCATTAGTAAACCTAAGGCCCCGTTGCGTACATGAAACCAATTTGTTGTTTCACTTAATTTACGTTAGTAATCCTTATCTGATTACATAACTAGGATGAGTGTCATAACCTTTTCATATTCATTATATTTCACCTTCATTTTCATATAAAAATTGGCTTGAAACAAGTAAATGAGTGGGGGGATAAGATTGTTTGAAATCTACTGCACAAATACATCCATACATATTGTTCGTCTACTAATTACGTTATCGTGATTTATTAAAGGGACTAATTTATGTTTAGCAATGATGGGCAGTGGAATCCAGGATGCGCACTTCGTCCTATTTGGGACTCGTCAGCTGGATGCACCCGCCTCAAAGTGAGTGTTGTTCTCACCGGGACTCGGACCCAGGGGCGACCGCTTCGGACGCCAGCGCGTTATCCACTACACCACCGAGCCACGATAGCCACTTCTTGTGCGACGGGTATAGGTTTAGTGTTATTGCTTGTATTACACCGTCGTTGATTGGACCGAATTGATCAGTCTCTGTTGGCATATGGGCTCCTATGAGGAGGCCTCGATATTGCCTGTCTTTTAACTATGTTTAGTAATGATGGGCAGTGGCTAGCAGTGGAATCCAAGATGCGCATTTCGTCCTATTTGGGACTCGTCAGCTGGATGTACCTGCTAATTGTTTCAAATTATCATTATTATTACAGTCTTTGTTAATTCAAAGTTTATTTTTTCCCCATGGTTTCTTAACTGATGGCTACGTGACCATCTGAGATAACCGTAGATTGCCAAACTTAAATTGATACTGAGTGATGATAGGTGAGATGAAAATTTAGGTAACAGGATTCGAAAAAGTAATGTTTAAGTTACCCGCCTGATGATCTACCAACTGAGATACGAAACCCGGTAGCCGATCAGATCGTATATCCATTCCATCCACCAAAAGTTTTTCTACCCAGCTGTTAAGTGAGTCTGTGATACGAAAGACTCCTATAAAATTAGACAAAGCTGTATGGAAGGGAACGGAATTTAAAAACTAAGGTTAGTGAAAATATTCATGCTATCGAAGGGGTCAAAGAATGGAAATATCTGCGACTTTGTGACCAACTTTTGGCTAAGTCTCTGAGAGTTGTCATCCACTGATTCCTATCGTCTTGAGGACTCCAACCATATAGTCTACACCACCTTAACAATAATCAAGTACCCGTGGCACCTTTTAATCTGATCTCCCTGAACTTTTTTCGAACCTAATCCCAATTCACCTAGCATTGCTCGTCGAGGTAGGCGGTGTCTCGATATCTACAACACATCTGAATGCCAATCCAACGAAAGAAATCTTTCCCAAGAAGTTTATTTTCAGAAGCTGCACAGTCTTATAAATATCAAAAGGATTTTCATTATGGAATCACTATATAAATCTGGAATACTTCTACGTTACATTGTCGATATGTCAGGCACTGAACTGTCTACTAGGTACCTGGCATTCTTGAACCCGTTCATACAGACGAACCTGTAAACATTCTGATAATGATAGATTTGAATTTCAAGTTGGTATTTATCACGGACTGACATCAGTTGGAGAATCGTAGGAAATTTTGGAGCACTAGGCAGCTATTTCATCCCAGTATGGGAATCCTCAGGTTCCACAGCAGGCACGTTACCAGTGAGCCACTTGGTTGCAATTTGTCTATGCGGCTAAGAGTTTTAATTTCTTTTCGGTATGACAATGATATCAACAAATTTTATTACCTTACCCACTGGAGTACCGACCATTCAAAGAAACTGTACGCTTTATATGCGATTGGTAACAGTAGACAGTTATTTAGACTTATTAAGGAAACTGAGGGTAAAAGGTCAACAACGGTTAGTGAGACCATTGCAGAGAAGGATCGCTCTGCTATTCACTAGCAGGGGAGACATCACAGAAGACAGTTTTCTTAAATTCAATGAAACAGATGTCCTCAAATGCCTAAAATCATTAAAACCCTCACAAACCCACCAATTAGATGGTATTTCCAGTATTCTATTCTATGTCCTGATATTCTATGACATCCATTCACAAACATTCATCATGAGTACCTTTTTGCGATGAATGATATTTAAATAAGAGTGTAGGGAATTAATGTGGTTCTGCTACCAAAGTTTATATCTTCTGGATCAAGTGTGAAACTCCGACCGATAGCAATAACCTCAACACTCGCAAAAGCAATGCTGATGTTGTTACTTCGTATGGTTGAACTTGTGTAGCAGGCTTTCGGTGGTAAAACTAATTGGCGGAGGAACCCAGAAAGAGTACTTTACTTGCTGCAGTTGTTTTGTATCATAAAATTATTGCCAATGTGGACAAATGTGCTGAGTACGTTATTATTATTTGTCCCTTGGGTTCCTAGTGGAACATACCACTTCAGTAGCACGTCTCCAGTGCACTCTGTTCTCTGCAATCTTTTGAACCTGGCTCCACGACAGCCCACAAGCTCTCATTTCTTCCTCACACGATCTCCTCCATGTCACCCTCGCCTACGACGCCCAACTCGTCGTTTCACCTTTGATTCCACTCGACAGCCTGGCCTGGCGCGTGATGTCCCGAATGGTCTAAACAATGCATGCCCAATCCGTCTCTATTTTCTTCTGCATATTTGTTGAGCAATAGGTTCTTGGTTGGTTCGTCGTCAGCCAGCCAGAGTTCCTTGTTGCTTATTCTTATTATTCTGGCCATCTGAGCTTCAGTAAGCAGCGTAGGCAGTTGTTGATGGAATTCTGTAGTTTGTTAGAAATGCCTTTCGTAACGCGCCAAGTCTCTGAAGTATACAGAAGCACTGACTTGACCGGATTAGTGTTGAAAACGTGGATCTTGTTCACGCTTTATGCTGAGTGCAGAAGACCTTCATACTGGTTTCAGGTTAATAAACGCCTGTCTTGCTTTTCTGATCCTGGTTGCTTTTGACGTCCTCGTCTGTGCCGCCTGTAATTTAAAGAGTGCTGCCCTGCCTAGGTAAATGAAAGAGACTACTTTCTTTAGGTTTCACTCTCCCGTTGATGATGATTGATGCTTGTTGTTGCTGGAGTTGTTAGTGCGGTATCTTCATCATCTCTGTCTTCTCTACGTTCATCTGTAGGAAGTCCCGTCTTCGCTGCCCTGCCCAGCCTCTTCTGTCAACTTGTCAGTTTTCGCCTGTAGATCTTCAAGTTTGTGTGACATCAGACACAAGTCATCACTGGCGAAATCCAAATCGTCTAGGTTCTTTTCAGCGATCCACCTAGCATATCCCCCTCTTCTCACAGCTCCTCACTGTTTGCTGCATGATCTAGTCCAGTCGACCACAATCAGGAATATCATGGGTGATAGTAGGCAACCTTCTTTCACTCCTGTCTCCACTTCAAAAGCATCACTGAGCTTCCCATTGTGAATTACTTGACATGTGGCGTCGTCATATAGTTGCTGAATGAGCTTGATAAATGTTTGTGGTATTCTGTATTGTTGCAACAGTTGCCAAATTACTTGTCGGTCGACGCTGTCAAAAACCTTCTCAAAGTCGATGAAGTTGAGATAGAGGGTTGATTGCCATTCTATACTCTGTTCTATGATGATGCGAAGCGTTGTAATTTGGTCCACACATAACTTGTACTTCCTGAATCCAGCCAGTCCGTTCCGGTTGTAGTTTTGAATCCAGCGCATCCTTTAGTCTCTCCAGGATGATGCGGCCTAATATTTTGCTTTGAGTGGACAGCAGCATGATTTCTCGCCACTTCTTGCAAACACTGAGGTCTCCCTTCGTCGGCAGTTTGACAAGGTAACCCTTCTTCCAATCAATTGGCAGTTACCTTCCCTTCCTTCCACACCTTCTGCAATACTGGTGTGAGTATGCAAGCTGTTGTTCCTGCATCTGCTCTCAGTGCTTCTGGTGGGATCCCATCTAGTCTGCTGCTTTCCCACATTTCAGTAGCTTTATGGCGTTCAGGACTTCCACTTTTGTTGGAGGATTTATGTTCACTTGTAGTTCAGCGGCTGCAGGTGGTATTTCTGGATGAAGTACAGGTGATGATCGATTCAGGAGTTTTTTGAAGTGGTCAGCCCATTGCTTACTTTGTTTCTCCTCTTTGGCAACTGGGTTTCGTTCATCATTTATTGGTTCCGTCTGCGTTGATCTCTTCCCGGATAGTAACCTGGTTATTTGATATGATGTTGTCAGGTCTCTGTCTCTCCTGCCAGCAGCCTGTTCTGCTTCACTTGCAAGTGTGTCGTAGAAGTGTCTTTTGTCTTTGCGCACACTCTTCTTCACTGCTGAGTATGTTAGATCTGTCTTTTCAGACTACACTTCTGACTCTGATTCTATCCGTAGATGTCTTTCAAATGAATATGCTTTCGAGAATTCATATTTTATCGTGGATTTCAAGCTGACTGTATTGTTATTTTTCTGAGAGAAAGTGATACAGTTTATATGGAAGGGAAGAGCTCCGCTTGACTACGTGGTGGAAATGGTGTGCTTTAAAATGCTGTTTTTCTCCTTTTCTTTTCTTTAGTGTTGTGGATGACTTGCCTACCTCAACTGATATTAGCTTTGTCGGATGTGTATGCCAGTCACCTCTTCTTCAGTTTAATAAGTTGTGAGAGGAAATTGGTTACTAGTCCTTCTTGAATGGTGTCACACATACTCAATCTGTCAACATGTCAGGTGGCTAGTGAACTTCAGCTGAAGAGTTGAAGAAGACTCATTTGATGACTCTTGTTTTGTTGATGGTGTTGTAGTGGAGGTTTTATGAAGTGTGAAGCATGTTGGTTTATGTTTCGCTTTTCATTTTCCCTGTTCATATTCTATGGATGTTGAGGGAAATGCTTCATCTGACGTTTTCAATAGGGAAGCTCAGATTGTCTAGGATCACTCAAGCTACTCTCCTCTAATGTCTAGCTAATTTCTTTGTTATATGTGTGCTTACTTATTGTTCTGTGTTATTTTTCCGTGGACTCGGAAAAAAGGACTATGGTGTATTGCGTAGGATTTTGACGACTGTTGGTAAAGCAAGTGGTACACCATTGAGGGGACTGATAAACTCGGTTGTGGAGTAGATCTACACACTGACTATTTCAGGTTAATGAAGGAGGGTCTGTCTTGCTGTCTTTCGAATTCTGGTTTTCACATCCTTATGTGTGCTGCCGTCACCTGTAGTTGAAACGATGCTGCCTTGTCTAGGTAAAGAGGTAGGTGAAAGAGACAACTTCCTTCAGATTTCTCCCGTTAATGATGGTTGTCGTTGTTGTTGTTATTGTTGATTGAGTATCCTCATCACCTCTGTCTTCTACACGTTCACCTGAAGAAAGTCCCGTCCTCCTTCACTACCTCACCTCGCCTCTTCTGCCAGACAACTTGTTAGTTTTCGTTTATAGATCTTCGAGTTTATGTGACAAGACATAGGACAGAAATCATCATCTCTGGCGAAATCCAAATCTCCTAGGATCGAAAAGCGTATGCCCATCTTCTCATAGTTCCTCACAGTTGTCTGTTGTATGATCTAGTCCAGTCAAGTCGACCACAGTTGGGAAGATCATCGGTGATGATAGTAGGCGGCATCCTTGTCTTACTCCTTCCTGTCATCAATTCACTTCAAAGACATCATCACTGAGCTTTCTACTGTGTTGTGAACCACTTGTCATGTAGTATCCTCATATAGGATAGCATCTAGCTGTTGAATGAGGTTGAATGAGATTTGTGTTGTTGAAACGGTAGTGTTGAAGGAGCTGCGTATCAAATTATTTGTCGGTCGACGCTGTCGAACGCCGGTCTTTCTAAAGTCGATGAAGTTGAGGTTGAGTTGACTGTTATTTTGTACTCTGTTTCATGGTGATGCGTAGTGTTGCTGCCTCAACTTGCATTATTTTTGATCTAAGTAATTTCCTTTTCACTCCATTTTTATTGTTATTATTGTGTATTGTCTCCATTAGGTCTTTTAGCTGGCTTATGGGAATTTCCTAGTTACACTGTTGAAACATTCGACAATAAGAATGTGAAACCCGTAAAGGAACAACGCCAAATTGATGACGTTGAATCATTTTTACCTTTGGCGCTTAATCGAATTACAAGTGCATTGAAGAATTCTTCATCCAGTATAGTATCATGTGATGATTTCAGGGTTCAGTCAGTTGGAGAGGTAATTTTGCTACACATTTCTGTTTGTTGATTATTTATTTATTTTAAAAACGAATTGGATAGAAAAAGGGGGCCAACTTTTAAAAGGTTACTGTCCATTATGTACTGACATCAATTGGGTGTAGTTGTGGAATCATTGGAAACCTAAAAGTACTGAACAGCTGTTTCGTCCTAGTATAGAAGTTCCTCAGCAGTGTACATCTATCACCCTGTCAGGAATGAAAACGTAGAGAAAAAAGAAATTAGTTATTGAGGAATTATTGACAGGGATACCCTCAAAGAAGCATTCACAATTTCTGTTTCCCGTTTCTTGATAACAGGGGGAACAAGAAAGTTGTAGCATAATCATTGTTTGCTTTGATTGTAGGCTATTTTTATTACCAGACAAAGTCACTGATTTATATGATTTCTTAGACTTCATTCTGTTTTAAATTTTAAGGTTTCTCTTTGGAAACACAACTCATTCAATACTAATAGTATAGATGAAGCTGCGATTCATTGATTTAAGCAGATTACTGATAAATAGTGGATCAAAAGTTCATGTCACGTCCCACCTACTGAGGTTAAGATAGCTAGTGAGTATCATTAACCTTGAAACAATAGGTGTGCCTCATTGCCTAGTTCATGACGAATGTCCACAAGGTTACTGAGTATATTTCGAATACAATTTGATTATTCAACTTTGGCTTGTTTCTCAGATGAGTGCATTGTGTAATAGCCGTATTATATGAACGCATCTACCTTTCATCTAGGTACTTTTTCCCTTGATATGCTGATAGGTGTGGGAACATAAAGACTTATGCAGCAATACATAGTCCTGTATTTATTTTGATGATGATAACTAAGGGAAGTACTTGAATCAATACTGCAATTCAGTGTACAGTACTCCTTTCAAAAAGTTTAATATATTTGACTATATCAACCCAACTGTGTTGTGCAAAACTCCATCCATCCATATAAACAAAAGACCAGACATTACTGTGTAACGGACCGAGTTGCCACACCTTCTATCACTACATCAAGTAAACAAGGCAGTGAAGTGGAAGACGAACAAAAGAAAATTCAGTCTACAGAAATATAAAGTACTAAAATGAAGAGAGAGGAAGAATGAGAAAATGGTGAGATTCAGTATAGCGTCGTGAAGATGATGATAATGTGTGAATACACCTGCTCCACTGACATCGGTTCTCAGCCATACCATCACCTAGAGTCAGTCTCCAACCACTCGTTTCTCTCTTTCCACGCACCATACCTTAACCACACAGTCTTCATCGGCCTCCACATAGCACAAACCAACAGTCAAACACTTCATACATTCATACCATGCTTTAGTCTGGTCACCCCAACCCTTTCTCCAGTCTGAACCTACTTCCACCACCAACAACATTGTGTCACGAGGCACACGGTGACTAGGCATACGTAACACATGTCGGAGTCAACCATCTCAGTCGATGAAGGTTCACAACATCCTCAACTGACTTACCTCTTCTCCCTAAAACTCTACACTTCACTTGTGTGTTACTCACATAGTGACACCATGGAATATGACCTATACTTCGAAGGCAACGATCGTCAAACACCTGAAGCCAGCCTTCTCATATCTTCCACATTCAATGGCCATGTTTCATAGCCATAGAGTAGAAGAGAGTGGAGTGGTGTGCGGTACACGCAGTCCTTAATAGACAATCGGATATCACGGTGACACCACAGGTAACGTATGTTGGCAAAAGTCAACCGAGCCTTTTGTATGTGTGCAGAGATTTCATCGGCCAGTACTAATCAAGGCACCTGGGCCTATCCTACTTCTCATGTAAGTGAAGTGGTCGACATACTCAATCACTATACTCTCTATTGTTAGCTGCGATGGGGCACCGTTGAAGACCTGTCGTGGAGTAACAACTTTCATTTGGGTGGTGAGAAACGCATCCCAAACATTCTTAAATGAGCCAAATGAGTAAAACGATCATTTAGCTGAAACATGCGAAATAGGTTAATAAATAAGGAATGAATTGATATTCACTAGTGAAATATGGGTCAAATGTTGTCAATGAAATGAAATATAACAGTAAGTACTGCTACTAATAGTAATAAAGGTAAAACGAGATCATGAGTCTCATTATGACGATACCATATCGGAATGGTACTTCTAAGCAGTTTAAAAGGGAATGAAATGCATTTCGCATGGTATTAAAGCCTGTTTTAAACTTCAGAATCTCCTAGAAAAGATATTAGTCAAAGTGAAAGACATAATTCCTAAGATGACACAGAACAATTGTGTCTATAAAATTAAATATTTAGAATATAAAGCGAATTATATTGAAGAAAGTTGTAGACCTTTACAAGTTAGAGTGAATGAACACACGTTATGTATGAAATATCCATCGAAGAATCAAGATGAATGAATTAGAAACATTTAGAAAAGTGATCAGCAATGCATATCTAATCCATACAATCGAAAATGGATATATGATTAACTTTGAGAATATCGGTAGATATTTTTGGAAAAGGTTTCCATTTTCATCAAGAAAGGTTAACTTTAGAAGGTCTGGATATTTAAACAAAATCAAATATTAGTGTTATTGTTTGTATGACACCATCGTTGATTAAACCGAATTGATAAGTCTCTCTTGGCCTATTGGCTCCCGTGCGGATGCCTCTATATTGCCTATGTTTTAATTATGTATACTAATTATGGAACCTCGCCTGGTTAACTAGTTTACTAGTTACTAGCCGGTCCTAAGCCCGGGTAAAGAGGGAAGGTTGGGCATAGGGCTAGCAACCCTACCCCGTAAAACAAATCTAACCGCTAAAGAAACTTCAAAGCACAAACAAAATATAAAAAATAATAACAAACTTATTCCCCGCTGGAATCGGAGAGGCGAAATGACGCCAGTTGGTGAAAGCCTTCGGGAAGCCAATTGGCCGATGTGTCTTCTCTCGATGAAAGCGAAAGTAAACGTGGGGACATGGAATGTCCGCACCATGTTTGAACCCAGTAAGGCAGCCCAGATTGCAAAGGAGATGAGAAGGTATAACATCGAAGTGCTTGGGATTTGCGAAAGCAGATGGAATGGGAGTGGACTCTCCAAACTGTCAACTGGAGAATCAATAATCTACTCCGATATTGTCACCCAGACGACAACCACGAGCACACTGAGTTATGGAGTGGCTATCATGATGTCCTCAAGAGCATCGAAGGCTCTCATGCAGTGGGAACCAATCTCCTCCAGGATCATGACAGCAAGATTCAACTCAAAAGGAAGAAAGGTCACAATCATACAATGTTATGCACCTACAAATAATGCAGAGCAAGAGAAAAAGGAGGATTTCTACAGACAACTTCAATCAACACTGGACAAGACGTCAGTTGGCGATATCAAAATTCTGATGGGCGACATGAATGCCAAACTGGGAGGGGACAACACGGGAAGAGAACTAACCATGGGTCGAGAGGCGCTAGGTGAAATGAATGAGAATGGAGAATTGTTTGCAGAATTCTGTGCATTCAACGATTTGGTGATTGGAGGCAGTGTGTTCAGGCACAAGGATATCCACAAAGCGACATGGATTTCACCAGATGGACACACTAAAAATCAAATCGACTTTATCTCAATCTCAAGAAAATGGAGACGCAGTCTACTTAACACAAGGTCAAGAAGAGGAGCAGATGTAGGTTCAGACCACTCACATCTAGTGCAAGGAACCTTCCAAATCAAGTTAAAAGCCTTCAAGGAAGCTGGTGATAGACCTCAATTCAAGTACAACACTCGGAAACTGAAGGATGAAACTACAAAGGAGATCTTCAAGGCAGCCATCAAGACAAAATGGGAGACATCGAGCAACATCCCTGAAGAAACCTGTGTGGAAGAACACTGGAAGTCTTTGAAAGCTATGTGGAAAGAAACCTGCACAACAGTATTAGGAAGGAAGAAGAAAGAAGACAAGGAATGGATCTCGACGGATACCTGGAAGCTGATAGAGGGAGAGGAGGATGGTGAAGCAGAAGATAAACCAGTGCAAGGATGCTCAACGACAAGAGGAACTGAGCACAATGTATAAAACACTGGACAAAGAAGTGAAGAAGAGTGCACGCAAAGACAAAAGACACTTCTACGAAACACTGGCAAGTGAAGCAGAACAGGCTGCAGGTAAGAGAGACCTGACGACATTGTATCAAATAACCAGGTTGCTATCAGGGAAGAGACCAACACAGATGAAACCAATAAAAGATGAAGAAGGAAATTTAATTACAAAAGAAGAGAAACAGAGGAAACGATGGGCCGACCACTTCAAGAAGCTCTTGAATCGACCACCACCTGCACTTCGTCCAGAAATACCACCTGCAGCCGCTGAATTACAAGTGAACATTAATCCCCCAACGAAAATGGAAGTCCTGAACGCCATAAAGCTACTGAAATGCGGGAAAGCAGCAGGACCAGATGGAATACCGCCAGAAGCACTGAGAACAGATGCAGAGACAACAGCGGACATGCTCACACCACTATTGCAGAAGGTGTGGAAGGAAGAGAAGGTACCTGACGATTGGAAGAAGGGTTACCTTGTCAAACTGCCGAAGAAGGGAGACCTCAGTGCTTGCAAGAACTGGCGCGGAATCACTCTCCTGTCCACCCCAAGTAAAATATTAAGCCGCATCATCCTGGAGAGGCTTAAAGACGCACTGGATTCAAAACTGCGACCGGAACAGGCAGGCTTCAGGAAGTACAAATCATGTGCAGACCAAATTGCAACGCTTCGTATCATCATAGAACAGAGCATAGAATGGCAATCAGCTCTCTACCTCAACTTCATCGACTTTGAGAAGGCCTTTGACAGCGTCGACCGAGAAGTAATTTGGAAACTGCTTCAATACTACGGAGTACCGCAAACCTTTATCCGCCTCATTCAACAACTATATGAAGATGCCACATGCCAAGTAATTCACAATGGGAAGCTCAGTGATGCCTTTGAAGTGAAGAAGACAGGAGTGAAACAAGGTTGCCTACTATCCCCCATGATATTCCTTATTGTGGTGGACTGGATCATGCAGCAAACAGTAGGCAGCGAGAAGAGGGGGATACACTGGACGACGGAAAAGAACCTAGAAGACTTGGATTTCGCCGATGACTTATGCCTAATGTCACACAAACTTGAAGATCTGCAGGCAAAAACTAACAAGTTGATAGAAGAGGCAGCTAAGACGGGACTTCAGGTGAATATAGAGAAGACAGAAGTGATGAAGATACCGCACCACCACCATCAACAACAACAACAAACTCCAATCACCGTCAACGGGAGAAACTTAAAGGAAGTAACCTCCTTCACTTATCTAGGAAGCACTGTTTCAACTACAGGCGGGACGGACGAGGACGTCAAAGTCAGAATCGGAAAAGCAAGACAGGCGTTCATTAGCCTGAAACCAGTGTGGAGATCTTCTGCACTCAGCATGTGGAACAAGATACGGATTTTCAACACCAACGTCAAGTCAGTGCTCTTGTATGGCTCAGAGACTTGGCGCGTCACGAAAGGCATTTCCAATAAACTACAGACATTCATCAACAACTGCTTACGCTCGCTGCTGAAGATCAGATGGCCAGAAAGAATAAGCAACAAGGAACTCTGGGAACGAACCAACCAAGAACCTATCACGCAACAAATATGCAGGAAGAAGTGGAGATGGATTGGCCATGCACTGAGAAGGCCGACTGAGGACATCACGCGTCAGGCCAGGTCCTCGAGTGGAATCCCCATGGGAAGCGACGAGTTGGACGTCCGAGGGTGACATGGAGGAGGTCGTGCGAGGAGGAAATGAGAGGTTGTGGGCTGTCGTGGGACCAGGTTCAAAAGATCTCAGAGAACAGAGTTCACTGGAGGCGTGCTACTGAAGCCCTATGTTCCACTAGGAACCCAAGGGACTAATAATAATAATACTAATTATGGGCAGTGGAATCCAAGATGCCATTTCTTCCTATTTGGGATTCGTCAGCTGGATGTACCTACCTTCTATATGCCAACGCAGACTGATCAGTTCGGTCCTATCGACGACGGTGTAATACAAGCAGTGACACTAAAACTATACCCGTCGCACAAGAAGTGGCTATCATGGCTCGGTGGTGTAGTGGATAGCGGTCTGGCGTTTGGAGCAGTCGCTCCCAAGTTTGACTCCCGGTGGGAACATCACTCACAGAGAGGCATGTACATCCAGCTGACGAGTCCTACGTAGTACGGAATGCGCATCCTGGATCCCACTGTCCATCGTTACTATACAAAATCGAATATTATCAACAGAAAGGAGGAATATATAAACCGTTAGTGATGACATTTCTCGAATTGAAGCCACAATAACAATGATAATTATTGACAATTTATCAATAAAAGTACAAGAAACGTCACATATTCTACAACATAAACACACTTTGACTATCTTCGTTGACAATAAGAAGCATGAACTTGTAATGACTAACCTTAATTCAAACAATTAGTTCTCCTTATGAACTTCGACAATACAATAAGAAAACGTAAATTGTCTGAATCGTGTAACGTGTCTGCGCAATACATTTCGATCTATCTGACAACACACGAACTTGTCATAGGTAATTTTATCTGAAAATTCATGAAGATAAGAAGTGAGAAAATAAGGCGGTCATTTAGGAAAGCTGAATTAAAAACGGAATAACAAGGAAAATCAATAGAGCGAAAAAATAATAGTACATCGAACTTAGTTTCCAATAGTTGAATTTACCAAGGAAGATTTAATGTGACAATAAAGGATGGTTTCAACTTTCTAGTAGCTAAGGCTTCAACAAATTTAAGGATCCGTAAATAGTTGTAAAGGAAGTAGCCACATCAATCCTGTGACTATCTCAACGATATGTTTGGTGATCGAAGAACTTGGACATCTGGAATATGTTCCGAGGCCCAAAGTGGCTTCAGAAGCAAATTAAATCATCTGAACCCCGTAAATGTTGGTAGTAAATGTTCAAGTTCTTCGATCACCAAATATATGTTTGAGACAGGTCACAGGATTGATATGGCTACTTCCTTTACACCTATTTACAAAACGTGGTGGAGACGGATCCTTAAATTTGTTGAAGCCTTAGCTATTAGAAAGTTGAAACCACTTTTGTGTGTTCATAAACATTTGTTGTCACATTAAATCTTCCTTGGTAAATTCAACTATTGAAAACCAAGTTCGATGTACTATTATTTTTCTCTCTATTCATTTTCATTGTTATTCGGCCTTTAATTCAGCCTTGCTACCTGACCTCTTTTTATTTTCTCATCCCTTATCTTCATGAGTTTTTATATAAAAGTACCTATGACACAGGTACGTGTATGTTACCTTAATTACTCAGGCAGGATGGAAAAATCACGCAACCAGTGATTTATGTCCACTAAATATTTGATGTCAATAAAAGTTCGTATATTCTGCTGAAGAAGCTGTTGCTTACACGGCGAAACACTCAGAAATATAGAAGTAGTATATTCATCATGGACTGACATCAGTTGGGGAACCATTGAAAATCTGGGAGCACTGGACAGCTGTTTCGTCTTAGTATGGGACTCCTCAGCAGTATAGCTGAATGGTCAACGCGTCCTCCGTGAAACCTGAAGGTCCTGAGTTCGACCCCCAGCCGGGTCGTGGGTGTGTACTGCTGAGGAGTCCCATACTAGGACGAAACAGCTGTCCAGTGCTCCCAGATTTTCAATGGTTTCCCAACTGATATCAGTCCATGATGAATACTACTTCTAAATTAAAAATCCCCATTCTTCTCAAAAATACATTACTCTATAGTGCTCATTAGTGACTTGCTTCCAGACGGATGTCAGGAAGTTCTAATGAGAAGCCGTGACCTGTAGGGTCCACCAGTCGGAAGTGAAGTGGATGCTAACTGAAGACCTTGGGTGACAGTCGCGCTATGTCGTGAATTGACAGAAGTTGGAAATTGTGAACCACTGGGAACCGACCCAGTGGCTGGATGGTTGACGCGTTCGCTTTGGGCCGTGATGGCTCTGAGCTCGACCCCCGGCTGGGGCATGGGTGCGTACTGCTGAGGGGTCCCATACTGGGATGAAACAGCCGTCCAGTGCTCCCAGATTTCCAGTGGTTCCCCAACTGATATCAGTTCATGATGAAATTATTAATTAATTATTAAATTAAAAATCCCCATTCATCTCAAAAATACATTATTCAGAAATATCTTATTTTGAATTTTTGAAACACGCTCTGGGATTATATTAAAATATATATACCTGTAACTAATCTCTGTTTATCGCTTGTTTCGTGTCGAATGAAGTTGCCTAGTTTCTCCACTTCCTTACGTATTTACCCAGTTTCAGTACTCTTATGGAGACAGTTATATCAGGAGTAGGACTAGGCAACTTAACCAACGTGTTACCGAACACCTACCTACCTTCGTGGCTAGGAAAGGGTGAGATTAAATCTATAAGAAGCTCTACTTTATTACATAGTGACCTATGGAATCCTACCATGCCTTTCCGATGGAGGTCGAACTTGCCTCTTACATATAGTTGAAGCTATAGATATTCCAATGAACACTTCAGAGGAAGTTTGTAAAACGTTTGTCCCTGTCTTTTCATTTTATCCTTTTGTCACTCTGTTCACACACTACTTCTCGAGTATTAAAGTAATTTTATTGGTTATTTCTCAAGGTTGCACATATTTTCTCTCATATCCATATGACATATGTTGTGTTCACATTGAAACTTGAAGAGAAACATCTATCCAAGTGTTTAGATGAGAATATTAGTGATATTTGGCCACCTGATTTAAATTTTGGACGATGGGTTAACCAAACTGACTTACATTCTTCAGCTATTTCTACTGCAACTAAAAAAGTAAGCTGGTAAATTTATATTCTCTATGTTATCCTCAAGTTCTCCATTACTTCTAATGTTATTTTTCTAGTTGATATTAATCATGGACTGACATCAGTTGGAGAAACATTGGAAACATAGGAGCACTGGATAGCTGTTTCATCCTAGTATGAGACTCTTCAGCAGTACGCACCCACAACCCTGCCAAAGGTCGGACCTGTGACCTTCAGGTTCTTTGGCCAGTATGTTACCACTAAGATACTTGGTCGCCGAAATCCAATAGTCCATATTTCCAACTTCTGTCAGTTCATGACATGATGCGACCGCCAATTGTATTGCATTTTATTGTAGTTCCTGAGGGGTTTCCGGGGTGTCGAATTGAAAGAAACAGGTACAGAGATAAAAGATGAGGAAATGAAGAATAAAGCAATGCGAAACTGATAGAAAGTTATCAGAAGAGAAGAAGGAGGAATAAGGTAATACTAAATTCATTCTATGATGGAATACCACTTTAAACGTGAAATCCTTATTAACCTCAAAGTATACATTATTGTATAGTGCTTCTTTGTGACATGCTTTCAGATGGATATCACGAAGTTCTAATGAGAAGCTGTGAGCTATGGAGAGTCAGCCAATCAGAATGGAAGCGGATACTATCTAAAGACCTTGGGTGAGAGTAGAACTGTGGACCAACGAAACGCGACCCAGTAGCTGCATGGTTAACGCGTTCGCCGTGGGACCAGAAAGTCCTGAGTTCCATACCTAGCTGGGTCATGGGTGCATACTGCTGAGTCCCAAACTAGGACAAAATAGTTGTCCAGTGACCCCAGGTTTTCAGTGCTTCTCCAACTGATGTCAGTCCGTAATGGATGCTACCTTAAAATACTGAATTCAGTATGACGATTAAGATGAGGATAATATGTGAATCCATCTGCGCCGTGTCACTTAGAGCCTCTAACGACTGGTGTCTGTTATCGCGTGAATCCCAACCAGTAAGTCTACATTTCCCTGTATGGAAAAGACTTCGTGAACTGATGCCATGTTTTAGTTTGCCTGGTCCTAATCTTTTTTCAACCTGAACCTACTTCAGCCAACATTGTGCGACGAAGCTTGTGTAACACATGTCCCAGCCATCTGAATCTGTGATATATCTAAGTTGACTCCGTTGCTACAGTTATAATCCTTTTTAACAGTCTGGCCGATTTCACTGGTTTTAACCCATAGATTAGACTTCCTATTGGATCTTATGATTGGTGGACTGAGAGAAGTGCTCATCCTGACTAGCATTATTCCCCGAGTTAATCCTACTGCCACTAACGTCACATCAGCTAATGTAGAGGGAAGACGAAGGTAGACCGTTAGCCTAGACACATGAAGGACATTCGTAGTCAATTGGTTATTGCTCTCACTCTTTCTGGGTATGAATGCAACAGAACCAAAGATCCTTATCCACTGACTTTCCACTTCTCGCTGAAACTCTTCTCTTGACCTCTAGGTTACTGACGCACTGACATGTCCTATGATACAAAGGCAACGGGGGTTAAACACTTGAAGCCTTTTGATATTTTCTACTTTTAATGGTCAGACATTTTCAAAGCGTTGAGTTGTAGTCATTAAAGCAACACTTTTGATTCAACAGCTCTTCATTCTTTCAAATATCTTCAATATTTGATGAATAATTCATGTTACATATGTTAGGTGTGTTGATTCAATGAACAATCTCTCCCTCCACCCAGCTAGCTGTATTGAATTTCAGAATTATCACCCTATACCACCCACTCTATAGTGTGATTATTGGTAAGTGCATTCAGAGTGATAGCCAGGTTTTCCTCTAAATTATATATCTTATTAGGATCTACCATTGTATGTCTTACTAAATTTTTGTGGGTTTAAATGCTACCTTATCTTCTCGGTATAGTGTAACTGTCATCTGAAGTTTTCGGTTGCCATTTGCCTCACTTTTGACTAGTCAACCCTTCAGATCATAACTTCGCATTAAAACTTTAGGTAATCTATCGCAAAGGGGTATCACTAGTGAACACTTGACAATAATTCAGTTTACCGGTGTGTCGTTTCATTTGTTGGTATCTGTCTATCTCTATTTTCGTGTGTTTATATTTCAGATATTTGCTCACTTTGAAAATTATTCCAAGTTATCCAACAAGAAGGTATGTTCAACTGGACAATTCTTTTGACACACATTTTTTACAGTTACCATTTAGACTACGGCCGGATTGGAACCAGGCGACCACCAGGTTTCCGACTCGATGGTCTTCCAAATTTTCATTTCACCTTCAATCATCATCCGGTATAAATACTAGTCTGCCAAACTACGGCTATCCCACTCAGTTAGTCAAAATGGTATTCAATATGATGCTCCCCCTCTCTAATTCAGATTTGGATTGAGATGAGATGTCCTGACTACGGAGCCAGTAAGAATACGATGAAGCGGTAGTAGCGCGTCACGAATTCACATAATAGTCGGGTAAATCCCATGGTGATTGAAGTGAAATAAAAAGAAATCTGGTCAGGAGTTGGACCTCATAACTCAGTTGGTAGAGGATCGAGCTGAAAACTCGATGGTCGCTGGTTTTTGACACTGTTGGATAGATATTTTTCTGAATATTATTTAGTATGACAGTTGTATTACATCATTTCATTTTTACTGGACTTATCCATGATAGACAAACCGACAATATCAACACAGAACCTTGTACTGAAATGTGTTGGTTCAAGTCGCCACATGCATGCAAAGAACAACTGGATAGAAAAAGAGTGATATCATAATCGATAAAGGTGGTCAAAGCACTGAAGCTTTAGAAGACGTCAATGACTGAATACATCTGTGCCATTGTAACCGATTTTCAGCGCTGTCATTCTATAAACATTGATTCTTATAACCCTATAAACCCCAGTCAAGTAGTCTACACCTCGGAATATGGCTAGCGCTAAACGTCAAAGATTATAATGGACTGGTGGTCAAGTCTTGGTCTAACCACACTGATCCTACTATGGTTAACATCGCATGTCGAGGTAGGCAGTAGATCGGTAAGCCATTTCAGCCCATGAAGGTTCACAATCTCATCAGTCGACTCACTTATCATGCCTTGTACCCTTCACTTGGCCTCAACATTGCTAACTTCGTGATCCCACTAAACACGAGCAAATAAAACCCTGTAACCGCTTCGCATGTTCCACTTTTAACTGCATGTCTCACAGCAGGATAGAACGAACAGCAGCTCAGTGTACGCGTTGGGGTCAGAGATGATACTATTTGGCAAACGCCAAACGGGTCTTCTATATCCGAGCTGAGAATACGTCAACAACCAATCCATTTGGAATGATGCAACTCCCGAAGTAAGTGAATTGGTCGATACATTCAACCACTTCACTTCTTATCATCAGGCATCCACAGTATATGTCGAAACCACCTCAGTCGATGAAGGTTCACAATCTTATCGACCGACTTACATGTCTTGTCTAGTCCTCTTCGCCTAGCTCTCTACATTACCTAGAATAGTGTCAATCTCGATTGATATAAAACTGAACTCTTTTTTTATTCACTCTTAGTTTTCAGAAAACTGTGTTAAGTCATACGGTGAGGTGTTCGGGAAGATGTGCTCGTCCAGTGGTACCCGTCAAGACTGTCCATTCTCTCCATTCTTATACAATTTCATCATGGATATCCTTATGGAAGTCTACTCCTCGTCACCTGACCGACTACACAGAGGTTGATCTAATCGCAGGAGAATTTTCGTTAGACCTAATCCTACTAGGTAAAGATGCTGACAAGATACAGAGTCTTCTGGACACTGAGTGACAATTTGAGAATGTTTGGGATGCGTTTCTCACCACCCAAATGAAAATTGTTGCTCCACGACAGGTCTTCAACGGTGCCCCATCGCAGCTAACAATAGAGAGTATAGTGATTGAGTATGTCGACCACTTCACTTACATGAGAAGTAGGATAGGCCCAGGTGCGTTGATTAGTAGTGGCCGATGAAATCTCTGCACACATACAAAAGGCTCGGTTGACTTTTGCCAACATACGTTACCTGTGGTGTCACCGTGATATCCGATTGTCCATTAAGGACCGCGTGTATCGCACACCACTCCACTCCACTCTCTTCTACTCTATGGCTGTGAAACATGGCCATTGAATGTGGAAGACATGAGAAGGCTGGCTTCAGGTGTTTGACGATCGTTGCCTTCGAAGTATAGGTCGTATTCCATGGTGTCACTATGTGAGTAACACACAAGTGAGGTGTAGAGTTTTAGGGAGAAGAGGTAAGTCAGTTGAGGACGTTGTGAACCTTCATCGACTGAGATGGTTGACTCCGACATGTGTTACGTATGCCTAGTCACCGTGTGCCTCGTGACACAATGTTGTTGGTGGTGGAAGTAGGTTCAGACTGGAGAAAGGGTTGAGGTGACCAGACTAAAACATGGTATGAATGTATGAAGTGTTTGACTGTTGATTTGTGCTATGTGGAGGCCGATGAAGACTGTGTGGTTGAGGTGGGGTGCATGGAAGGAGAGAAACGGGTGATTGGAGACCGACTCTAGGTGATGGTATGGCTGAGAACCGATGTCAGTGGAGCAGGTGTATTCACACATTATCATCATCTTCACGACGCTATACTGAATCTCACCATTTTCTCATTCTTCCTCTCTCTTCATTTTAGTACTTTATATTTCTGTAGATTGAATTTTCTTTTGTTCGTCTTCCACTTCACTGCCTTGTTTACTTGATGTAGTGATAGAAGGTGTGGCAACTCGGTCCGTTACACAGTAATGTCTGGTACTTTGTTGATATGGATGGATGGATGGATCGATGTTGTTTCGGTTAACAGAACTCTGGTTATCAACTAATCCCTCCATCCTGATCAATTAGTGTTCAGGACTGTTTCTTTTTCCTATTCTACTGTATGATGATGTGTAATTGTAAGCATAGTGATGGTTGAGCTTTCGTCCATGTTTCTCACCTTACTCGATTTGGTGAAGTTTGGGTGCTCGTAGTGACCTTGGTCGACTACTTTGAGCCACTTGCTTGGTCTCACGCTCGTTGAATAGAATCCGACAAACTAATTAGTTCTCTGTAGTAGGCTCTGTGGAAGCGTTTACTGCTTACACAGGTTGTTTCTTACTGAGCTTGTACATAGAAATACCGCCTAAGCCGTAATCTTGCTGAGAATCCTGTCTCTCTAATGGTTTTATATTCTGTCTGAGTCTATCGTCATCCTTTTTTTCCAGTTCATTTTAATGCTACTGCAACTATTGAATGATAAGTTTTCTTTTGATTTAGTCAAGCATCTCAGTCCTCAGTGTACTGTCACCATTTCTCAGCTTTTTTTTTTACTTGTAGGCAGTTGCAAATCCACATAAAGGAAAGAGGAATACTACGAAAACCCCGTTACTAGTAGACTCGAAACAAGCCAAGTTGGACAGTTTCTTTCGATGATACGATGATTTCCGAAGATACGACGGCTTACATCACCTTTTGTTCTGTAATAAACATGATCATACTATGCAATTATCAGATTTTATATACCTTTTCTAAACAACTGTACGCGGTAACTCCGTTTACTTACCAGAGATTATTTTTTGTAAACATTTATTCCTTAGTTTGCTTTTATATTACCTGATAAATATTGTAATCGCTTTTATAAACTCTGAAGACGAGTAATTTTTCAGTTCATTGCATACTATTGTCTTCGCTTCCTTGGATAGCAACTGTAGAGTGATATCGAATAGTCGGCTGCCAACTGTACGATCAACGATCTAAACGGTCAATTCGTTTTTCCCATTCAATTTAATCTTCGTACTTGCATTTTCATCTATTATGCGCAGTCGCCGAATTGTAGCGGTGTTTCCATTCCTTAGTGATAGGACGTGGCCTAAATAGAAAACAATATCTCCAGTTGTCTGCCACTATGATAGGAGTTTCAGTATTTCAATTTTCGTTCCATGTCACTACATGGTCAGGAAAAACTTTATTGGATGATTTTATCCTGCAGCTGACCAATCAGAATTAGCTATTTAACTTTTGACCTAGTGGCTTCAGATGTCCATATAAATGATGTATTTTTATCGAATAAAGTGTCTACAGTTTAGTATTCTGAGAATAACTATCAATTAATCCAAACATTCATCAACAACTGCCTACGCTGCTTACTGAAGCGCAGATAGCCAGAAAGAATCAGCAACAAGGAACTCTGGCTGGCTGGCGACGAACCAACCAAGAGGCTGTCGCTCAACAAATATGCAGAAGGAAGTGGAGATGGATTGGGCATACACTGAGAAGGCCGACTGGGGACATCACGCGCCAGGCCCTCGAGGGGAACCCAAATGGGGAACAACGAGTTGGGCGTCCTAGGCGAGGGTGACATGGAGGAGATAGTGCGAGGAAGGAATGAGAGCTTGTGGGCTGTCGTGGAGCCAGGTTCAAAAGATTGTAGAGAAGAGAGTGGAATGGAGACGTGATACTGAAGCGGTATGTTTCACCCAAGGGACAAATAATATTAATAATACCCCAAACAAACGTCAGTATGTATACACTTGAGGTATGACCTCGTCCGCAAACTGAGATAGTAAGGATTAACCAATCAGCGAATTACATTGCAAATGGGTTCAGAAAATGTACTACTAGTCACGCTGTAGAAAAAAAATGGTGTGAAAACGACAATTTTCAAGAAAATGTAAAGATCGATTATAATATTTTATTCAAAACTGAAGCCCCACACTCACTTGCCTAACTAAGCTAGTAAGACCGAGAATATGAACATCTGTTCTAGTAGTATTATGCGTAACGTTCTAAGTTGCCATACCTCGTAACAAGATAAAATCTAAGATAGTGAGTAGTGAAAACAGCTGCGATTAGGACTAAAGTAATGCGTGAATGTATTTGCACGAATGAGATCACCTAGAAACGGCAGCTGGGTTCCTACACGACGCAGGCCAAAAGTCAGAAACTTTATGAACTCATATCATGTTTCATTCACGCTTGTCTTAAACTATTTTCCCGTCTGTTAGTTGGGTGGAGGCAATCGGCAGGAAGCCCTGGGCCTAGTTTTCGTGCTTTTAGGCACTCATCAGCAAGGCACATCTGCAACCTCGACGGAACTGATATCCCACCTGAGATTGGAACCCGCGTCACCCAGTCACTACTAAGCTATTCGGGTCGCGACTGACCGTCTGTAGGACTGGCTTACATGTATTGGGTGGTCAAGGGAGTGCTGAGTGGTAAAGTTGCTGACTACAACACTGGGTGGCGCGGGTTCGAATCTCAGGCGGGACATCAGTTCCGTCGAGATTGTGGATGTGCCTTTCTGACGAGTGCCAAAAAGCACAAAACCTGGGTCCAGGGCTTCCTGCCGATCGCCTCCAACTAACTATCATCTACTAATGTGCACTGCGATGCTGAGTTTCCTAGCTTGGTTGCTACATTGCAAATATGATCGATAGGATTCGGTCTACACTCAGGATTAGACAACATGAAATTGTTCGCACACCCGTGCCCAACCAATTCACGTTTTCCAGTCTACACCACCTTCGGATGACATTGCACTTCAAGGTAGACAGTGATTGGAAATCCACGACACCTGTTCCAACCAAATGAATCAGTGAAGGCTTATGAACTGAGTTTATTCATTTTACTGAGAATGATTATCGAACTTCTGAAGCTTCTTCATATCCTCTAGCTTTAATGACTATATTTCATAGAGCAAAGTGTAGCGCAGTGAGCTCAACCCCTAATGGACCATCAGGTATTACGGCGGTGTCGTGGCATCTAGAAGTGTCATCAGTCTTACCGATTATATCAGTGCGTTCAACCACTTCACTTTCTTAACTCAACAACTTAATCTGAACATTCACGCTCTGAGCTACAGATATTCGCCACTATTCCCGCTTCACTTTCCGTATTTAGACGAGTCATCAACGTAGACCAGTTCCAAGCTAACAATTTGCATTTAGTTGGTGAGGGACGCAGCTGAGAAACATTTCAACTGCCGTTAGCAACCACCCAGTCAAAATCACAAAGACTATTCTTTGGTAAGAAATCGCCATAAATTAGTAAGATATACTACTGAACTATATGAGTAGTACGGAAGAATTTAGGCTGATATGCAGGTTTTGGGAGCCAGATCAAAGTGACATCAGCGCCTGGCAGGCGTCGCATTTGTTCTAGATGACGGCACGCGCAACTTGTGTGACTACTTATTCCCCCATTTTGGTTACTCCACACCCAGTTGTCACTTTCTTTGGGTGGATTTTGTATATCTTCAACCACAGAAGGACGTAAATTGCTTTATTTTGACTTGACATTGTTTGCAGTGTTGAAAGGATCTTCTTGGTTTCTGTGGTATTTCAAAATAAATATCATGCGTTTCAAACTTCACATTCATTTTCATTTTAGTTACCTTCAATTCCGAGAAGATAAATTTTGCTCAATTGTTTTACCTACTTACAAGTAGCACTAATGTTATCATGAAAAATATTTCTGCTTTCAGAAGTGACATTACTTGAACTCTTACCTTCATTTGTATAACAGAAAAGAGACTGTCCAGCAGGTTCATTACGTTCAGTCTCCCACCAACATTAGCTTGAAACAGAACAATAAAGTTACTGGTCAAACTAATACAGGTAGCCTGGATTAGATGAAATTTAGAAAAGGCTAATCTACTCATAACCTTATGAGATGACAGTCCTTCTCCAGGGTACATTAAGCTAAGAATTGATATTCAAATCAAACTCTAGTTTTATAACCAGTTTTGAATTATCTGGATCATACCTGGAATAGAATAAAAGAGTTTTTTGTTGTATTACACGTCGGAAGGTATCGTCTCTTCAATCACCTACTATTATGCATTGGTTTAGGCAGTAGCTGTCTCAGTCAATACACCTTCCTAGTTTTATCTGTTATAGTGCCTTTCTCAGCTGGTATTTAGTGGCTAATTTTATCACTGCTCACTACCACACATGAGGTATGTTTTGAAGATACGTGCTACTGAAAACCTACAATATGCCCATTCCACTCAGTTTCATTATTCGTATCTGACAGTAAACTTCTGTACAATGGATTCATTCAATTATATGAAGTCAGTTCAATCGCCAAAAGGATACTTTACTACCACATCGTAAGATTTCGTCAGTTATCGGGGCTGTAGGGGCCTATGCAACGCATTCTAACACTTCATTCATTATCTTTAGGTTTGTTGCTGATACCTTGAGGTCCTGTAGTATCATTTAAGTTTGAAGGATGCTTGAAATTAGAGTAATTTAATTAATAATGGTGTTAGAAGACTTCGGTGTAAGAATAGTCGAGTTCGATGCCTCCAGATTGTCATACTTTTAGTCTGGTAAAAAAGCTTCCACTCATTGTTTTCCTTCCCGGTTCGAAATCTCGTTTTTCTCTCACCATACACTATCTGAAAATATTACTGTAAATCTTTTTCCAAGAAATTTGGAACCGAAACGATCTTTCAACAGTAAATCCAAAACAACCAAGAATTTCTCTGAAATACAGTTCTTTTTGAAATAAACAATATTGAACAATTAGAAACCTTGTGTTGTGAGGTATTTGTGGGTTTATTGATGTTAAACCACCTTGCAGAAAGTGCGTCAACAGTATCATAGTAAGGCTGTGTGTTCAAGGTTAACCAAAAGGCAATAAAAAGGGTGTGCGTATGTTCCAGCGACGAAGTAAACAGATGTTCAGAGTAATGGAGGACGTCGATGAGCAAATAAAGGAACCCCAAAACTGTCGTGAACTGGGAAAGACAGTAATATCTAAAAATATATTAAATAATGAACAAGATCTGATTGAATCGAGTAAAGAGGTTGAGGATGAGGTAGAATTATTCGAGAAAATGAATTATACTACCTAATAATACTAAGTAGTATAAAAATAAGTATAACAAACGGGTACTAGGTCAACACTGTATCGAGTAAGCGAGAACTAAGTAGAAAAAGAATTAACAGTTATATTCATGTTAGCTGTACTTCTATGAAATGTGACCGCTATTTCTTAGTAATGTTCCATTATTTGATCATTAGGCAATAACGGGTTTCATTTTGTCTAGTCCTGAGTGCTGGCGCACTTCTATTGATTATTTTGTAATGTGACCACCAGGTTAGGAAATCCAGCATGGTTGCACACTTTGATTAAAATTAGATGGTTAGGGACAATCAGTAGGTAACCCTGCTCTTCATCAAAGCATATCTACAACCTCGAAAGAACTGATGTAAGAACTGATATAAGCCAAAGTGTACCTCAATGCTAAATCTCCTAGTCTAGTGATCACATTGCCGAACAATCGATAGAGTATAGTTAGCACTTGGGACTAGAAGTTGATGGCACTTCAGTGAGTAGTCATATTGTCTACTCTAATCCTACAAAAGGGGAATCACTGCTCGAATAACTCAGTGGTAACACCTCTGGATATAATGTTGACTGACGCGGGTTCGAATGTGACATCACTTCTGTTGAGGTTTCAGGTACGTTTTGCTGACAAGTGTTAAGAACGACGAAACGTAAGTCAACGGAGTTTCCTCCCCATTTTGTCCAACCGTTCAATATAGTAGTATTCCATTTCATCGGTTTTGCTGACATCTTCATATAAGAGAATAGAGAAGCGATTATATGCTGCATATGTTGATTCATTGGGTCAGCAGACTAAAGTTAATCTGAAACGAAAGTTGAAACAGGACTCGAAGCAGCGTTGCTTAAGTCGCTCTCAAAGGAAATGTACAATACTATACAGATAGAGACATTTTTATGTGCACTAACTAACTGGTTGGTCTTGATTTGCATTGTCCCTACGCTGAACGACAAGTAAAACTAGAGAACAGAATTGATATGTCGTGTGATAGACATTGGATGTCTAGTAAAGATGAAGGGTTACGTCCAAGGTTTTTATATGGCTAATCAGTCAACTGTAAATTGCATTCCTATTGAATGAGTAAGTGTTTGTCAAACAACCCTAGACAAGTCCATTTGGTCTGAGCTGTGTATGGATGTGTTGACTACCTGACTGGGTCCATCGTGGTAGTAGGAATCGGTGGTTGAGAACTCTTGGAGAAATGGCTGGAAATAAGTCATCATGATACAGATTAATTCATTGTTTCACGTCTTTTAAAGCTTGAATATTTTGATTAATTCTAGTTTTGAAAGTCCATTTCCTTGTCTACACCTTTATCAACTTACATACCAGATTTCCTACATCCACTTGTTCTTTGTATAGTACTGTGAATTGTGGTAACCTGAGGTGATTCAATTGTGAGGTGAAGACGAATAATCCTGCTGCTTTGAAGCGCAGTGTTTCAGTATTCTTTGCTGATGTCATACTAGTTCATTATTTCCACTGGACAACTGTCTTCATACTAGTCACGTTTGGTGGAGCTGAGGTTGGTTGGTTTTGTCACTTGACTTCCAGCCGATGTGTCATGGGTTCGAACCCCGTTCTATCTACTGAGGTATAGAGGCCCGGATAGCATCCTCAGTCATCGTACAATACGGATGGCTTATTGCCCACTTCATGAATGTACCGATGGTTGCTGAGTGAATTTCATCCCTTTTTTCTTGGCCCTGTTTTACAGCAAAAAACTAATAATACCAAGATTGTGAAAATTATATTCCACGCAGATCTTGACCCAATGAACACTTTTCTCAACGGTTTGCTATGGTAAATACTATACAATAGTCATACCAAACGATAATTTGTATCTAGTAAAGCAGTGGAAATTGATAAGCATAAGATGGCTGTCTCGTCTTCGCTTACTACTTGTCAGTGATGCACGTCTGTGTCCTCGGACAGGAATTTAACTTCAGTTATTAGTCTGTGGTGTGATCACGTTGCCGCTTAGCTACTGAACTGAAATCCACTAGTGTAAAATATCGAAAATTTGGGAATTTACAGTCTAGCTACAGCCTCATCCAACTTTAGTGTTCGATTTTCTCCCGACTTCTTCCAACGTTTCTGCTGTCACTCAATATTTATGGTAAAAACCTGTCTTGAATTAAAGAATTTCTTACCCTACAATAAATTGGATTATATATTCCCACCAAACCTACTTACAAAGCTCATTGAGGTATAAATAGCTAGATTTATATCTATAAGTCGTCTATGTCAGTGAAAACAATAATATCGATAATACTGTTTCTATTTATTACACCGTTATTTTTACAAAACCTGGATAGTAGGAAAGAGAAAATTGATTTCCGGACTTAGATGGGCAGTTAGATATCACGTGCCTTAGCCAAAAAACGAATGAAGTGGTAGAGTTTTAGATGAGATGAAGTTAACCAATCTCAGCATCTAAAAATCAACCAATGAAAACAATATATGTTAGTTGTCCAATCACCGTAGAGTTTTTTTTAAGGTCAACTCAAATTTAATTGGTTTTTAAGGGCAGATAGTAGTTAAAGTCATCAACTTAATTTAGGGAAACTGTTGATAAAAGACGAAGAATAACCATAATTGCGTTTAATCAAAGTCTTGGAACCATGGATAGAAGGCCATCAGGATTCTCAAAAGTACCATTAGTCAATGCACGTTCTGTCCTAATCGCTATAGACGGTTCTGAACATTCAAAGAGAGCATTCCAGTATTATTTAAAATGGCTTCAAAGACCAGATGATGCAGTCACAATATTTCATGCAGTTGAACCTGTCTCTTTACCAAGTTTCTCTCTAATGAATCCAATGGGTATACCAAGTGATGAATGGTCAAATATTGTACAAAACAATGTGAAACGTGTCCTTGAACTTGAAAATGATTATAGTACAGAGTGTTTAAGTCAAAATTTAACTTATCAATTCCTTTATGAATCTGTTGATCATATTGGTTCAGCCATTGTTCAAAAGGCTGAAAAGTATAAAGCAAATTTATTGATTATTGGAAGTCGAGGACTTGGTGCTATTAAACGTACAATTATGGGCAGTGTTAGTGATTATGTTGTCCATCATGCAAATACAACTGTCTGTGTTGTTCCATCTATGGATGAACCACAGGATACATCATAAAATGTTTTCAATGAACACTCTTCTACAATCAACATTCAGGCGAATAATATTTAATAATGTACAAGTACACATTAGTGCATATCTGAATTTTATAGTTCATTATAGTGATGTGTTACTTAACAATTCATCCCACTACCGTAAAACTTTATCTTGTTTCATTTTTATTGATTTTTCAAAATTTCTTTTGTCATTATTATTACTAGCAACACTTGGTGTATTTTAGCTAGTAAGCTAAAATTGATGGCTTTTTTTGTAAAACAAAAAACTGAATTTCTTCGTAATAATGAATTTCATTTTATCTTATTCCTTCTCAAAGTGATTTCAAAAGGCTACCCTAGCAACTACTGAGGTAACCAGTTACGCTTCTCTGAATTGTTGAAACCTGATTGGTTATTTTATCAGTTGCTAGGGTGGCCTGTAAACTCAGGTGATTTTAAAGGTCATTCTAGCAACTGCTGATATAATTAATTAGACTTCTGTATTTTATGAAAAACTACCTTTTTAGCCGAAACACTGGAACCTAATTGGTTATTACAGGAGTTCTCAAGGTGGCCTTTAAATTCGCCCGTAAACTTATTCCCTTGTGATTTGAATTGACTTTTTCTGTGTAAATGCCTCCAAAGAGAAGTCAAAGCTCACTTAGTAAACATATGCGCATTCATGCAGTAGATATTAAGGTATGTCAATTGTGTAAGGGCTGCGCATATCTCGGTAAGTGGGATGCGACTTAGAAGTCTTGTGCTTGATCCCTTACGAGGTCATGCGTGTGTACTGATTACGACTTCTAACATAGGTAGAAATAGTTGTCAAGTTTTCAATAATACCGTGAATGCATAGTAATGATGGGTAGTGGCTGGCAGTGGGATCCAGGATGCACGTTTCGTCCTACTTGGAACTCGTCAGCTGGATCTACCTGCCTCCCAGTGAGTGTTGTTCCCACTGGGAGTCAAACTCGGGAGCGATCGCTTCAAACACCGCAGCGTTATCCACTATACGATAGCCACTTTTTGTGCAGCAGGTACAGTTTTAGTGTCATTGCTTGTATTACACCATCGTTGATTGGACCGAATTCATCAGTCTCTCTTGGCATATGGACTCCTGTGCGGATGCCTCGATATTGCCTGTGTTTTAATTATGTATAGTAATAATGGATAATGGCTAGCAATACAATAAGTGATTCTGCAATGAGGCGTAAAAACCAGGTTATTCTCGTCATCATCATCATCATTTTTTCGCCTGAATTTCCAGTTTTAATCATTGTTTATAATAAATTCAATATATAGTTAGGCGGAATAAGTGATTATGTAGGCTTCCATTAAATAAAAAATCAACGAAAATATAATCAACAACTCCAGTTTTAAGACATTTTTTCTATAGTTATGATTGCACAATTGATGAATATCATTTACACTTTGATATATACATGTAACACTAATAAATATGCAACTGTTTATGTTTGTGCACAATTTATTCAAAAGTTTGTGTATATATGTATAGTTTATTAGTTTAAACAAACGTAAATGTGTTGAGTTCACGTTCAAGGTCATTCGAGGTTTCATTTACACTTAACATGTAAATGTTCACTCCTAGTATGAACTGTTGGATTCCAAACTAGGGGCTAAATGACAACGTGCTTGTTACGAGGCCTGATGTTTCTGAGTTCGATTCTTGGTAAGGTCTTGGGTATGCGCTGTTGAGGAGTCCCATACCAGGATGTAACAGCTGTATATTGCTCCCGCCTTTGCACTGATCCTTCTCTGATGAGTACCACTTTGACTTTGGAGATAGTTTTTATTTTAATATGGTTTACTTGCTTGTGGCTAGTGAAGCAACCCAGCACGCGTGTTTCGACCTTCCCGTGACTCGTCAACTGGGTCGACAGAAGATGGTAAGTCAATGAAAAACTGATAGCTAAGTGAAGTTGAACACTTGGGTTGCTCTTTGTCGATTCACTATGTAAGGTACTTGATAACCTGGTGTCCATGAAATCCCAGTATCCTAGATACATAATATTGCGTATGGTTGGTAATAAGCTTGATACTTTGAAAGTGATTAGTGTTGTACGTCATTTCAGCTATTGGAGCTACAGCAGTAGACATTATTTCTTACTCTCTGCTCAAACGTTTTAGTAGTTAAGGTTTATCGGACCATCTCCTCATGATCTAAAATAAGATCACCAAACCACGTACCCTTCAATATAGGTTTTTGATTAGAGAGCGCGAAGTACGGATGTTTCTGTCAGATGGATGGAGAGAATCGGTAGGAAGCCATATTTGACCTGCGTTCCATACTTCTTGGCACTCGTTCACAAGGTGAGGTGATGTCTAATATTCGAATTGGTGTCACCCAGCGCAGTGATGCGAAGTCTACTACCTTGGTGTTTACATTGTAAAATGATTGATAAGCATTTACAACTAGACAACATGAAGTTGTTTAGCCTCCAGTGATGTGATGTGAAGTGAATTGATCAACTTTTTAATGTGGTCGTTAAGCAAATCGATACACAATACACGATAACTGATGCTAGTTGGCTAATGGTCAACCAATAGCCTATATTACACATTTTGATGAATTGAATTCAATTAAAACTGGGAACTAAACAGATTGAATCCTGTTACTTTTGAAGTAATCAGCAATGCTCTGTTCCATAATGGTGTGAAGCGTTGTAATTTGATCCGCACATGATTTGTTCGTGCTGAAACCAGTCAGTCTGTCCCGGTTATGATTTTGAATCCAGAGCATGTTTTATTCTCTCCAGGATGATGTGGCTTAATATTTTGCTTGGGGTGGACAGGAGCCTATCTTAAGTAAAATTCCTTGGTGATCATCTTTATTTGCTGTGGATCATGATTACGCCTATGATATCACAGTACAAACCACCAAGTACTTAAAAGTGTCTGAAATTGCAACAAATAAACTTCAACGAGGTAGCAATACGATGGTAAATTTGTTCCGAGTCGAGGTCAGGATTCGTATTTCTGAAGAAATCTAGAAATCTTTCAGGTACTTCTAGGCTTCGACTGACCGTTTAACTGATTGTGATAGTTACTTCTTGGCTGAATTATAACTTGCTTAATGTGAAGTCTGATGGCTCTGGAATCTACTTCTCAAGCGATGGGTCGTGGATGGACGTTGTTGAGGAGTTTCAAGCTAGAAGGAAACGACTGTGCAGTGCCAGCTTGCGAAATGTGGTTATTAGCTTCCTTTAGTAAGACTGACAAAGAGAAAATGGAGTCCTTCAACTTGATTATCTCCGCCGAATCATTCTGGTTACATCACTAGTAAGCTCTCTCTCTCCCATTCTGGTGCTCTGATCACCTTCACGCTCTCAGTTTTGACACCAATTGTGGTATCGACGAGATCATATTATATAAGATGAGTATTTAGGTTTCCAAGCCATCTGAAAAGGGCAGCGGTAGGATATCTGAAGCATATGCAGTTCAGAAGTTTAAAACATCCATTGTATGTTCAACAGATGAGTGAGCAACCTCTTTCTTTGTCGTCAACATCATGAACAACTAGCCACTCTGAATAATTCCCTTACGATGTAATTGTATTTTATGTCCAAATAATTTATCCCTTACCTTATTCTAAATACCAGCAGATATTACGTAACTCCCCTATTTCTGTGTGACAATTTAACCTGGTATCACACTGAAATCTTCTATCCTGTCTACTAAAATATTCCAAACGTACAAGTGTTTCGAGGATCCCTTGTGAGAGACTTATTTGTAAAAATGTCATTCGCAAAAATTCCCATTTAGACATAAATATAACTGTAAAACTTGAGCACTGTGGTAGAATGTAATTTCATATTCGACTTGTTTATTTGATATAAAGCGCACAGTGATACAGTATTATTTACTTGATCACGTTTCGAGCATAAATTATTACTGCTCATAATCATATCAATGTAATCACACTTCTTTCGATATCTGATTTTATAGTTCTGTCACCTGATCTCTCTTTGTTTTTTGTTTTTTGATTGGTAGTAAAGTTTTCCATATCTCTGGTATAGGTGTCGCGTCATTCCTATTACATGTGTTGGGTGTGGATTCGATGAACAAAGATTCAGTAATTAATCTCTCTCTCCACCTAGCTATATTAGACTTAAGTACAGTGGTTATGTCCCACCCTATTGTGTGGTTGTGTGTTAATGAATGTAATGCAATGGCCGGGTGTTTTTCTAGATTATTGATCTTATTGGGGTCTGCCGTTCTATGTCTAGCTAAATTCCTATGTTCTGTTAATCTAACTGACACCGACCGGCTAGTTTGACCTATGTATTTGACTTCACAGTCATTACATGGAATTCGGTAGATTATATTATTTTGCTTAATTGGTTCTATCGGATCTTTTAGCCGACAAAGCTTACCTCTAAGTGAGTTTGTCGGTTTAAATGCCACCCTAATTCCAACCTTGTTGAGAATCCTACGTATGGTTTCTGATGTTCCTTCCTTGTATGGTATCACAACAGAGGTGTTGATTTCCTTTCTACTTATGTTGTTGCTATTATTTGTATTTGTATTAGTGTTATTATTTTGCTTCTTATGTGTTTGTGTGAATTTCTTAATAAAATGATGGGGATAATTATTAATTATTAAAGATTCTTTTATGTGTTTCAATTCCTTTTTTAAGTCCTTACAACGACTAGTGAGTTTCTCGGCTCTGTTGTTTAGACATTTGACTAAACCCGCTTTAACTGACACTGGATGAGATGACTTGAAGTCTACATACCTGTTAGAATGTGTTGGTTTTCTGTAGACAATGTAAACAATGAAATTACAAAGGAAACATCATCGAACATCGATAGAACAAAGTGGGTAGTCAATCTCTCCTCGAAAGCCTTAAGCTCAGCTGAGATGAAAGTACTTGAAAAAGGACTAAACTTCAACATAACAGTAGATCATCTAAAACCAGAAGATGTCATACCTAGCATAGAAGTAGCATTAAGCTCGGTGGATGTGACAACTGCTGAACAGGTTAGAGCGCAGTGTGCATTAGCACTTAAAAAACAAAAGAAGACACAGCGAAACTTAACGAAACTGGAAAATTCAGCTTTAAACAATCTACGAAAGGATAATAGTATAGTAATTGCTAAATCTGACAAAGGTAACTCAACAGTAGTTATGGACAAATCGGATTATCTTAAAAAAATGGATGAACATATCCAAACAGGGCCATATGAAGAGATTAAGAAACCTATAGATACTGTCATGAATAAAATTAAGAAATCTACAACAGATCTGATACGCCGACTGAAGCCATCTCTAGGTAAGTCCGAATGGTTTACTTTAATGCCA